TTGAGTTGCTGCGTTACTCTCACGTAATAAACGCAATTATATATGGCTGCGCCCCCCACACCCATCCATACAGACAGAAGCAGAACATGCACCTTGAATGCCCCCTCCCATCCCCTCCAGTGCACGAAGAAAAAAAGTACGTGAAGGTAAATAGTTGGGTTCATTGTCCCCAATCATTCTAGTTCAAAGCAGTTATATTTACCGCCCATAGACCGGCAAACACAATCGATTCATAAACGAGTCTTGTGATCACCGGCTCGCGGGAACTCACGAAAAGGCAGTCTCTGGAACACTGCAACTGTCAGACCTCTCCGCTTGCAGTAGTGAGGGACCAGAGTAAAACAACAGAAAAACGGAAAACCGCACGCGCCATCCCATCTTCCCCTGTGTTGTTTAGAAAATAAATAAATATTGAAACTTCAGAAAACCAAGTCGCGCTAGAATTCCCCTACACCACATCTGAGCACGCTTTGTTTTCCTTTCACAAGTTTGTACGGAAAACAAAGAAGCTTGGAGAGCACTCTCAACCTCTTCATCTAAGCGGCCCCAGAAGCCAGAGAGCCACCTTCAAAGAACCAAAAGACGGCTCCACCACACACACAATCATTGCCTAGTTAAAAAAAAAGGAGGAAGTAAACAAATACATAAGACCAACACATGTTGGTATCGCATCAGGATTTCGTCATGACCCGTTCCAAAAGTGCCATATTGTAGCCAAGATTTGGAATGCGTTTCTGATCTCCACGACCGTAGGCCTGGATGCGCCGTATGCGGGCCGCATCCTTCACCCAAACATCCACAGGAATCGTGCCATTAAATGGCTCATTGTACCCACCGCAGCACATGCCCGTACGCCCCCATTTCGCGAGGGCGTATTTATAAGTTGCCCCCAATGGTTTGACACGACTGAACCAGATAGCTTCCTTTGACTTCTGTTTTTCGGCGATACGAATATTTAAATCCATTTCATGCACAAAGGTGCCGTATTTGATATGTCGTTCCTTAAACCCAAGCAACTTGAGACGGAAACCGTACTCGACATCTTCAAAGTAGGCTGGGTAAAAGTTCTCGTCAAAATATCCCACCGTACTGATCGCTAAGCGTGTCAACATAACAGAGGTAAAACAGGCCCCATGGTCATTCACACAGAAGCATCCGTAGTGCTGCGAAAATTCCTTTTCACGTACGTCCGAAGGGGCGTAACGGATGCGGTCGGGAAGCAGCGCAGAGGTCGACAAAAGGCTGTCCTTCGACGTGGAGCGCAGCACCCTCATTTTCCGTTGGGAACCTCGACTGTACTCGTTCGGCTCATTAGCCACTTCTGCCGCCAACTCATCCATGCGAGCTGCGTCATCCTTCGTCATCGTATACGTGTCACGCAGGAGGTTTAGAAAAAGCTCCGGGGAAAAGCTCACGTCACTGTTCGTCACAAAAACAAAAGGCGCCTCCTCGCGTGAGAGCGAGAGTGCAAGTCGCAACCCAATGTTCGCAGCGCCGCTATACCCAATGTTTTCCGGGTGACGCTTCACAGTCAAGCGCCCAGTCCACCCATACATCTTCTCAAGTTCTTGCAGGTGCAACTGCAGCCCTGCCTCCCTGCCGTTCTGCACCAAGAGCAACCGCCGGATTGGCACACTGATATTGCACATCATCTTTTTGAATTCTTCCAGATCAAGCATGAGCGGGACCACCATTAACGGGATAACATTGCTCCCACTAACGTCCCCCAGTTTCCCCGTCTTTGCGTCCACCAGAAGCCTTTCTCCAACACACATCACATGTTTCGGCACTCTCAGAGCAACACTGAATTTCCCTGCACTTTCGCCAGCACACTTGGGCTCCGTCCACCCAAAGTAAAGCAACAACCCCATTACCAGCAAATTTAACAGCAGGAGGGCTGTAATCCATGACCTTCGCAAAAAATTCATGGCTTCTGCTCAAAGTGGTATCTTTACCTATGCGCGAGTTGCAGTGGAAGCAGACCAAGGGAAAGTCACGGGACAATTAATAAAAAAAAAAAGGCAAGAGGAAACGATACACAAAAACGGTTTTGCGTCACGGTGGGAAACAAAGACAGCCCCCCTCCTCCTCCAGCACGGTACCAATGCACCCCCTTGGTGAGTGAAGGGGACATGTGGGGCATACAGGAACTCGTTACATGGCCACAACAAAGAAAAAATAATGATAAAAAACATCCTCGACAACGCAGCAATGTCCAAACAGCAACAGCAACAACACAGGACCAGTGGCCCACCGGCACGTGCAAGTGCCGTCACAATACCCAACGTCCTCACACATGCTAACCCCGTAGCAAATATATATATATATATATAAAGAGCGCATTCTCTCTTCGTTGAGTCCCTTCCTCCTTCGAACAGTAAGAACCTCCCACGCAGTACCGTCCATGCGCTGACACCGTCTCCCGACCAGCGACTGCACAAAAAAGCCCAAATGCCTCAATGGGGTCTCCCATACGGGACCGACAAATCGATGATGCGGCACAGCTGTTCAGGGCACGGTTTGAACTTCATCCATCACCA